CCTCCTCCTCCTCCTCCTCCTCCTCCTCCTCGCAGCACCTCCGGGTGGCCTCCAGCGGCCACCCGGAGGGGCTCCGCACTGGGGTGGCTGGCTCTAGGCGTCCTAGATGGGGGCGGAGCAGTTGGGCTCGAAGGATCACGCCGCATCGCCGATGCATCGCCGATGCGGCTCGATGTGGAGCCCGATTTGCTTCACGTCGACGTGATGATGAATTGAATGTGCATCGCTGATGTATTGGTGATGCGACGCGATCCTCCGACCCCATCTACTCCGACACCATCTAGGAGGCCTCCGCTGGGGTGGCTGGGTCGATGAGACGGACTACTCTGGGGCCCTGGGGACCTGTTGAGGCCAGTCTCGGTTACCTTATATAGAGGATGCTTGTGTGCAGCCCCGAGCCTTGGCACAACATCGACTGGGGCAACCAGGACGACTACGAGGTGGTCTGCAAGATTGGGAGGGGGAAGTACAGCGCGGTTTTCGACGCCGTCCAGGTGTCCACGGGGAGGAGGTGCGCCGTCAAGATCTTGAAGCCCGTCAGGACGAAGAAGATAAAGCGGGAGATCCGGATTCTGCAGCACATGTGTGGGGGACCCAACATCATCAAGTTGCTCGACGTGGTGCGGGACCCAGACTCCCTCACCCCATGCCTCATCTTCGAGCACGTAGAGAACGCGGACGCCAAGGTGCTGTACCCCACACTGTCGGACAGGGACATACGGCATTACACATTCGAGCTGCTCAGAGCGCTGGATTACGCGCACTCCAACGGCATCATGCACAGAGATGTGAAGCCCCTGAACGTTGCGATCGACCCCGCGACCAAGAGCCTGCGGCTGCTAGACTGGGGCCTCGCAGACTTCTACCATCCAGACCAGCGGTACAGCTCCCGGGTGGCCTCGCGCTACTACAAGGGCCCCGAGCTCTTGGTAGGAATGACTCGATACGACTATTCCTTGGACGTGTGGAGCCTTGGGTGCATGCTGGCGGGCATGGTATTCCGCAGGCATCCCTTCTTCAAGGGGGCAGACAATTACGACCAGCTCGATCGCATCGCGCGCGTCCTTGGGACCGAGAAGCTGGTAGAGTACGTGGAGAGGTACCAGCAGGAGCTGGACCCCGACGTCCAGGCGGCGCTTGGCGAGCACCCTGGCCAGGCCTGGTCGGAGTTCGTCACGCCCGAGAACCAGCACCTCGTCTCTGACGAGGCCATCGACCTGATCGACCGAATGCTCGTATACGACCACGCCTCCCGCATATTGCCAAGCGAGGCGATGAAGCACCCGTATTTCGAGTCGCCAGGGAGACCAGGCCACGGATAGCCAGAAGGGTTCAGGTTGCGCGACGGCCTGGCTCAGCAGCAAGCGGCGATCGCTGCTGACAGTTTCCTAAACAAAAATCAGATGCGCGGCAAGAGCCAGCGCAGGTTCTTCACGCGTGAGTGCTCCTGAAGGACATAATAGGGGGTCGTTATGGATGCGTGGTTGGGTCCTTCTGTTCTAGACTCGTGGTTCGCTGGGTCCTTCAGAAACAGTCTTCGGGCGCAGGAGCCATCAGCACAGCGGGTTAAACGGCTTTCTGCGTACCCCCTTTTGGAGTGCCCCCGTACGGATCACAACAGCTTCCTAGTAGGCCGGCGTGCAGACGCTTCGTAATAAGAGGGCACAGTGGCGTCGCAATCCACCCACGATTTGTTCCCAGATGCTTCGTAGTTGCGTGACAATTGCCTCGCGTACGTTTCACACCTTACGCACTTTTTCCTTAACATCTATACGCGTGCTTCGGACGTACGCCACAAGTGCTCGACAATGGAGCCACACAAGACTCACGACCCAATACGCAGCACGCTAGCACCGCACGCAGTTGATTCACGCGGTACGCGGTTCAGGCTCGTGTGAATTCGGGTACAGTTGATTCCATGCATTCGATGCACGCTCGATCCGCATCCTTGCCACGATTGTCGCATCATCGTGAATGTACATCCCCGCCTCCGCCTCGTGCATCTCCTGTGCACCTGCACGCTGAAGGTTTCCACCTAAGGTTTGGAGTGTCGCGTGGGACACTGCTTGCACTCACGGCTCCAGCACCAGCAACTCATACTTTTCCTTATCCTCAAAATCTACCAGCACGTTGGCGTTGGAACCCATGGCGTGGCGCAACTGACCCACTCTTGGTACACATGTGTCCTCATCTTGTTGCGGCGCTCGATTCATCGTACACCAGTTGAGTCAGCCTTTCGCTTGTGAGCTCAGCGCATAGCCTCCGAATGTTCCTTCCACACGTGGATTCAGCCGTGCGCGTGTGTGTATCCTCGCTTCCTGGTGCCTCATCCGCCTCCTCTCCTCTGGAGACCTACCTGGGTTTCTGTAGTTCTCTGGACGTCCAAGGAGCACGTTCAAAGACCGCGATCCTCGATCCTCGTACTCCGCCTCATGTTCCTTCTCCTCTGCCTCATCCTTTTCACGCGTCCGCGGCCGCATGAGTGCGCGGCCAGCCAGGCAGCTGCACAGGGTGCCGGCCCGGAATTCCCAGATTGGGTTTGCCGACCAGGAGCTCTCTTCTCTGACGAGGAAAAGGAGGATGATTGAGGCTCGAAGTTCGCTTGTATTGTAGAATGCTTACTTATGTTGGTTCTCTGGTTTGCTCTGGAGGGCCACAGGGGACCTTTGGGTCTAAGGACCTCCGGATACCTCTTGTGAGGAGGAGGGAGAGGAGGAGGGAGAGGAGGAGATCGACGTGCAGGACGAGAGGGATGTTGAGGGGGATGATGGGGACGGAGGATGAGGATGAAGGGTAATGATGATGATGATGATGATGATGATGATGATGATGATGATGATGATGATGATGATGATGATGATGATGATGGTGATGGTGATGGTGATGGTGATGATGATGATGATGATGATGATGATGATGATGATGATGATGATGGTGGTGATGATGATGGTGATGATGATGATGGTGGTGAGAGGAGGAGGAGGAGGTGGAGGAGTCGGAGAGAGAGGGTCAAGGAGCAAGAGGAGAAAGTTTCAGCATCACACACGTTCGCCCATTACGCTCTGCAGCAGAAGAACCGGATGAGTGGGAGGAGGGTAGGGAGTTGAGATGCAACGCGTGGAAGGGATGAGGAGGGTGAAAGGGAGGGGGAGGATGAGGGGAAGGAGGAGAAAGACAAGCATTGGGTGAAGCAGGAAGGGGGTGAGGCGGGGGCGCCACTTAACGAAGAATCGCCCAAGCCCTTATCTCTGCTTTTGCACATTTGATTAACAGCCTTCCGCGTTGAGTCATCAGTCCTATTCCGCTCGATTCCGTGTGTTTAAGTGCGCTTGCGAAGAGTACCTTTTTGCATGATTCATCATGAAGCGGTGATTCATTGTGCCATCGGATCGGGGTCCCAAATGAAAGACACATGCAGCAGAAACACATAGCATACGCAATGATCAGGCATCCATAACATGCATGAAGCTCTTACGCAACTTACGCAATACCACACATGTACACCAGCCATACAAGCCATACAACATACAATCCACAGCGTGCAGTCACGGTCGACATGGTTTACGATTTGATGCCGCGACGAATTTTCATACAGTATTCACATGAATATACACCACAAGGGCATAGCATTCATGTTATGGATAACGGCCTGGCATGCGTCGCATACACAGTAGGACGGGCAGTCATGTGCAAGGAACACGCTGCATCCAAGACAGGCATACTCGTTTGGTCGCGGCGGTGACGGTCGCGCACCGCGTGCGTAGCCTGAAAGGGGGCGATACTAGGCGAATTGGGCATCGCATGCGCAGTGCGCACACGTAACTATATACATGGACACATTCATCCATACTACATACATACATACATGCACGCACTTACACCATACGGACAGACAGACAAACAGGCAGACATACATACAGGCACAACTACATGCATATACACAGGCATACCTGCATACGTACATATATACGTAAAAGCACGCAGGCAGACAGGCAGGCATACATACATTCAGGCAAACATATATACAGGCATACGTACATACATACGCACATACATACATGCATACATAGATACAACCACAGACAAACAAACAGGCATCCATACAGACATACAAACATGCAGACAGACTGACAGACATACACACTTTCATTCTGGTGAGCATACATATGTACATATATACATACACACAGGCATACGGACATGCACACATACATACACACCGGCAGGCCGACACATAGAGACAGACAGACAGAGACAGACAGGCAGACATAGAGACAGACATACATGCAGACATACATGCAGACATACATGCAGACATACATGCATACATACATGCATACATACGCATACGTACATACGTACATGTAGACTGACATACATACATACCGTCAGGCATACCAACATACGTGGAGGCAGACAGGTGCACAGACAGACCGACAGGCCAACCTACATATATACATACATGCACATTTACACATGCATACGACAAACCGACATACATACATAGATGCATAAATGCATGCATGAATGCATACAAACATACGGGCAGACAGATCGAGAGACACACAAACAGACATGCATGCGCGCATACAGACAGACAGAGACAGGCAGACAGACACACATGCATGCATACATACAGACAGACACTCACACACATACACCTGACAGACAGACAAACAAAGATACACACAGAGATACATACATACACACAGACAGACAGACATACACAGACAGGCAGAAACAGACAGACAGACAGACAGACAGACAGACAGACAGACAGACAGACAAACATGCATGCATGCATGCATGCATGCATACAAACACACATGCACACATACATACATGCAGACAGGCAGACAGAACGACAGACAGAACAACGCACATACACACATGCATACGTTCATACATGCCTACGTGCATACAGTCAGACTGACAGACCGGTACACAGACACTGATACATATTTGCAGACGGACAGACGATCAGGCAGACAGACAGACAAAAGCAGACACGCACATTCACGGACATAAAGACAGACAGACACACAGACAGGCCGGCAGACAGACAGACCGACATACATACATACATGGCAGACAGACATACAGGCAGACATACATACACACAGACACACATACATACAGACTCTCAGACATATTCTCAGACTGACAGATAGACACACAGACAGACAGACATACAGACAGAAATACAGACAGACAGACAGACAGACACACAGACAGACAGACAGAAAGATAGACAGACAGACATACGTGCGTACAGAGACAGCCAAACAGACAGACAGACAGACAGACCGACAGACTTACAGACAGGCAGGCAGACAGGAAGACTGGCAGTCGGATATACATACATACCCTCATACATAGATACATACACACACGCCTGCATGAATGCAGAACCATGCAAGGCACAGTGGCGAGAGGTACGAAGGCATATTTTGGTCGCGGCTGTCGTTCAGCGTCCCCTGTGGCTGAACGTGTGTGGAGCACCTTGAGAAGCCGCTCACCCCCCAGAGGCCAAAACATGTTCATGAAAACACTTGTGCCATTTCCGTTCCAGGCAACATCGCTCCCCAGACTCATCCTGGGCCAATCCGAGTCTGGTATTCGTGATGCGTCTGGCCATGGCGACGGGGCTTCCTCCGATGGCCAGGTGAGGAAGATCCGAGGTCTGGAGACCCACGAGGTCCAACATGATCCTGGTGAAGGGCCTAGCCAGATGAAACTGTGAGCACCGCGAGGCAAGCGAGAAGGAGGGAGACGAACAGCATGGCGGACTGGCGCCATGCGAACACCGCCGTAGGGGGCTCCAGCGATTTCTTTCCACGCGGTCACGAAACACGTGAATCAGGACGGGAAAACCATACAGACACAATGAATCGTCGATTCCCCAGAAAATTATGGGAAAATATGGGAAGTGACCTGGGAAGTGGGGGGGTAGACAACAACTTAGAAACTGTACGAAAATACGGGGAATCTTGTTATTTGTGTTTATTTATTTGTGTGTCCCAGGGCCACTTCAGTGAAGGATGGATGTGCCGTTCTGGCGGCGGGTGCGCCATGCGAGCCCCAGTACTGGGGTCCTGGGCCGGGGGGAGCCCACTATCGGGGGCACGAAGCGCGTGAAGGGCGTGCCGACTTGGGAGCAGCTGCGCCATACGTGCCCTGCGGCTGGAAGATTCGGTGTAGCTCCCTATGAGACCAAAAAGCGCGTGAAGAGCGTGAACAAAAATGTGGCGGCGCCGCCAGGCGACCTTTGGTGGCAGTTGGGCCTGGTGAGGGGGCGGCCTTTGGCATTTGGGCCTTCGTT